TCAATCTTACGTAGGTTGCAGCTTTTTCTCAACAATACTTTTTTGGAACTCATGATGCGGCAGTTTTCATTCAGTCGTGTATTATTGTGTAGTTTTACATGAGCAACTCCTCAGATGGTGGTTAAATCAGTGTGCCACCTGCAAGCCGCGAAGAGAGATGCTAGCTCTCACCGTCGCACCAGATCCGACGTCGAAGCTCTCCTCCTTGACCAAACCAGGTGCCTGGAGAATATCCTGGAAAGAAATCTCAACAGACCCGGTCTCATCAGCCTTGTTGAGCAGAGAGATCTTGAAGTTGGCAGGGTTGGCGAGCAAGTCGGCCGTCACGGGGATTCTAAAAGCTTGGTCGAAAGACGGGTTGAAAATGTCCGTTCCCGGGCTGTAGGACTTGGCCGCTGTGCGGAACTCCTTTGCGCCCCACGTCACCTTGATGCTGGGGTTCAGCTCGTCGCGCTGGCCCTGCAGTCCGAGAACGCTGGCAATGAGTACTGTGGCTAGCCCAACGATCTGGTGCTCGTTTTCGCTTTGAGTGGATGTGATGACGCCCGCGTCGTCGACGAAGTTGTAAAACTTTGCGCGGACGACAATCTTGGCGTCTGTAGGCTCGTCCTTGTGGGTAAGGGCCAACTCTTGGGAGCCGCCGTTGAGGAGAATGTCCTTGACGGTTGTAGTCGCGATACCGATATCGTCGTCACCGCCGAGGTCATCGTCTTGAACATCGATAAAGATGCGTTGATCGTAGTCGGCGACGAGGAAGTCGTGAGTCTCGTTCCACTCGGGGTCGTGGTCATTCTTCTTGACGGAGGTGCGCCACTCCTCCTCAGCACCGACGTTGACCTTGGCATAGCAGTCGGGAACATCCTTGACGATCTTGGCCAACAGCCTCTTGGCACCACTCTTCTTTGGACCGCTGATGCCAATTGCTCTCTCAATGGTGAGGCGAAGAGCACCCAAATGGGGCAGGTATGTTCTGAAGTAGTCGTTGTTGCCGTCGAGCTTCACGAGGTAACGGTTGGGGAGAACAGCCATGGAGGCGATTATGTCAAGAATGACCTTACGCACGGCCTTGTCGACCAAAGCCCAGTCTGCGATGTTTGCGGCGTTGGTGAAATCGAGCTTGAGCTCTGGCGGGTTGATGAAAGCAACCTGCGCAGCCCCAATCTTGTGCGTCGAGTTAGCGCATAGAGTCAGACTGCTGGGGTAATCATGGGACGTTGCATACAAGGGGGATGATGTTTGTCAGAGGTGCGAGCAAGATCGAAAGTCTGCCTTTCAGATGAACATGTTCGATTCCCTATCGTCGTCCGTTTCAGTCTTGCGCGAGTAAAGTGGTTGTCTTCTTGGCAAGGTCTTACCAACTTGGGAACCAGCTTGCCATCAAGCTCGATGTCACTCTTTCCCTCCCAGGTCACATCCATATCAAGCTTGATGCCACCGTTGTCGACCTTGTGGACGTCTACTTCTGACACCCGCATGGGAATATTTCCTAGGTCCAGCTTGACAAATTTGAGACTAGCGAGGGGCCCCGGTAGCATCGTAGCAAACATGGGTTCGACGATTTCTTTCACCATCCGGCAGCCAGCAACGTTGATATTCGGCCATAGCTGCTCGATGATGTCGTTGAGGAATCCTGAGTAGATGTTAGACACCATTGCGACAGCGCTGATGAACGGGAGCATTCTGTCCTACCGGCTGATTCGGTGCCTCCAGAGGCAGTCAATTTGTCGACAATGCCTGCCATTTCTAAAAAAAAAGGGATGCTGATAATATGAAGACAAATAGTGAGAGTTGAGTGAAGTGCAGCTGGTGCTCAAAGATGAGAGCACAGGTCTCAAGGGACGGTGATGATATATCAGTGAGTTACTACGAGAGTGGGTCAACTCGTCAAGAGGGTGGTATACTTAGGGGAAAGTCGACAGCACTCCAGCTGAAGCCCAACATCAAAAGGGAACCTGGTGGGTGAGCGCTTTTGATGCCCACATCAGACTACGCGGTGCCTTGTTATTCGTGTTCCTTGGCAGTGAACATGGAAAGTGGATTGACGTCACTTGTTAGACTGCGGAGATCGCTGGATGTCATACAAGCTTGCTTGGCATATTTTGCCCTTCAGCTCTATCATTGGGCCTGTATCCCTGCCCGCGCGGGGTTCTGCACTCAGCCGCTGACACACCGCTTGTCGACCCCGGTTTCTGCTAGAACTTGGAACGATGTCTGGATCAATGACAGCGATCTCAGATATTACATGGCATTATTGAGGGCCAGTCATAGAGAGTTGGGACGTGGCTGGTGGTTCGCGTCGGTGGCGTTGTGGCATGATACGTGGACACACCAACAGCGCGTAAGACTTGCAACGGGGCCAATATACAGGAAAATGAACCGTTAAAACCTAATAATAGAGCGAACTCCGAAAAAGCCTTGGCCGAGACTAATTAAACAGGCACTCCACAGATACATGAGGCTCATGCTTCCCGTTCCAAAGCCTTGGCCTCAAGTTGGTAGTATTATTATTATAAGGTATGATAAGACGCGTTTAGGCCGGCTACGAGACGCGCGCATTGCGCGGTCTGCACCGCCAGTGAAAGTATCGTTTCGTTGCGGTGAGGATTTGATAGTCCACGTCTCTTGGCAAACGGTCAATAGCTCATCTTTTGTCACAGAAGACGACGCCTTTATTTTTAATAGAATTCCTTCGAGTCCAAGCATCACCATGAAATACTCACTCGGAACTCTTTTCACCTTTGCACTTTTGGGAAGCACGACCGCGGCCCTCGGACCACTCCAACTCTCTAAGATCAGCTACCCTTTCAACGTTGGTTGTGGACAGGTGAAGTTTTGATACAGGTTAGATCCGAGGAATATCAACAAAGGACCAGAAAAATCACCAAGTATATGTAGGGGCTTCCTGCCTATCATCTATGCGTGATTGTATAGCACTGTGGCTTGATAAGTAACGCCGGGTTGAAACTTGCGCACGGGTCAAGGCTGGCTTTAATAATGTCCACAATAAGACTTGCTAGCACTCGAAAGTAGAAGTTCAACTGCTGATGAAGACCCAATTCAGTCCTGTTTCAAGGTCCAGACCAGCCAGTGACAAGAATCAGCGAGGAAATGAACGGCATCTGCTGGGGTATCACAGGGGTGTCACTGGTGTGAGATGGGGTCAAAGGGGCTCGACCATTCTAGATGTTGTGACTTGCTTCAAAGGTACATCATGGGTCGTCCCAAGCAAGACTATGCCTGCAATTGCTTACCACGGAGAATTATAGACAATCTTCATCATTATCGCGAGAATGCGCCATTGACTTCAACTGTCTTCAACTGGGGCCCAACCACGTTAGCCGCATCTGTGATCCGACATGTGCATTTGAAAGATGATTGTTCTTAGAAAGCCCGGGAAGCTGATTGCAGGCACTTTCGAGAGAATTGCCGACACTGAATGATTAAGGTTTATGAAGAAAATTCCCCTCCTAAGCTATGTAAGAAGTTAACTATCGTCACGTCTGGGAGCTTTGGCGAGCTTCTGAATGGCATTGGAAACTGAAAACACGCACCTACCGGTTGAACACTTCAACCACCTGGGGAATGTAGAGGAGTATTCGACATATCTCATCTCTGCAAATAATTTTTTACCGTGGAGGGTGCAACGTACCCAGCACAAGTCTTTTTTAGGATTGCTTAGCTAGCCTTTATGTAGTCCTACGTTTTCTTCTCTTTCATCTTTGGATAAGCTAGTTGTCAGCTTTAAAACTGATTTACGTACAGGCTTACTGTCTAATAGCCAGCAACCTTTGTCAAAAGCTTATCCGAGATGCTTACTATACCTACCTTACCTTACCTTACCTTAGTAGGCCAGAGCTATTTTGTAGTAATCTTGTTCTCATATGCGACGAAAAGCCATAAGAGTCTCCTCCTATGCGTCAGCTTAATGCCTGAGTATTAAAGGAAGCGCTAATATAATATGAAGTTCCTGTTGGACTGCCACCCTAGAAGCTGGAAAGGTATGGAAAATGGGAATTTTCGAACCTTTGATGTGCGACCAACGCCAGGATTTCTTTTCAAATACTTATGAATGTGATATTCAAGCCTCAGGTTATGAAAGAACGCACCTCAAATACCCAAGACCAAGTCGTCATCAACACTATCATGTCGAACGTGTCGAGTGTCCCGCTAAGCGACCTGTCGCTGCATGAACATACTCCGGGAGTTAATGCGATACTTCAGACCCAGAAAAACCGGCCAGGTTAGCCTCGCTTACAGTACCTATGAGAAAGCCAGGCGGAAACCTGAAATTACGTAGCCGGAGGCCTCTGTCCAAAATCGCTCTCATCAAATACGTAGCTCACTGGTCATCTGCCATATCTCAAAATCCCTCATACTATCCCGACCTATCCAAATTTGAATGCACAAAATGCAGGGCTTGGAAGGCTTCTCTTATGTAGTAATGTTGTGGAAATCGAAAGAGAAATTTCTGTTAGTACGCACGTTTACCCAAAGATCTTGACGTCGCTGCGGCACGCCGTTCACTCCGGTGCCAGTTTGCGTACGATGCAGTACTCCCCTCATTTTCAGCCTTAATGTAAGCATATGATCATGTTGCTTTCATGACTTATATGGTCAATTAATACAGTTCGTCTTATTTTTTTTTTGCTTAGTTGGGGAAGCGTCCTTGCACCTTGTGTGCATGCACCCTCGGATGTTCGGAGGCAGCAGACCTCTGACCTATTCCGAAGCTGCCGGCCCTGAAGCTAGTCTTATCTTACGCGATCCGTCACTCTTTGAAAACACAACATCTCTTCAACCAGCCAGGCCATTCAGGAAAGCAACTCGAAAGAAGATGTTTTCTTCGTGGCTCAATGGCCTTCTCATCTTCTTACCCATCGGCTTTTGGGCGTTCTGGTCCGACAAAGCCCCCTTGCTGATCTTCGCCACCAACGCCATCGCGGTGGTGCCTCTATCATCCCTGCTCACTAGTGCTACCGAGATGATTGCTGCTGATGCTGGCGATACGATCGGAGCTCTGCTAAACATTACCATGGGAAATCTCGTGGAACTAATTTTATTGTGAGTTCCCCTTTTGCATCGAACCAATTCAGGGCTTTGGTAATTCTGACATCATTACAGCATGTAAGTGAGGAAGTCTAAGGGTCCGACATTTCCGCGGTGTGCTGATGGCCATGCCAGTATTGCCCTCAAGCACAATCAACTTCACGTCGTTCAAGCGTCAATTCTTGGCTCCGTGCTAGTCAACTTATTGCCGACCCTCGGGACCGCTCTATGTGTCTGCGGAATATCGCAATGCGAGTCAACCTTGAATTTCGCAGAGACCCAGCTCCTAGGCTGCCTTCTCTTCGTTTCCGTCTTTGTGCTTCTGGTACCAGTGAGTGAATGATTATTTCCCACGATGCCAGCATCAGACTGATGGACTGTTAGGCTGCTTTTAACTATACCTTGAAAGTACAAGAAGGCGCAAATGAAGCCATGCTGAAAATGAGCAGAGCCTCAGCTTTCGTGGTTCTACTCATCTACGCTTTTTATTTGGCCCATGGGCTGAGACAACAACACTCTAGTACAGCAAAAGTGCCAGAGACAATAGAACTAGAAGATGGTTATGCGACATTACCGAATAATCTTTTGTTGCGCTCTCCTGGCTTGTCATCCCATCCCAATCGGTCTCCAGAAGCAGATATGGTTGTACGAGAGGGCAACGGTCAAGGCCATGATTACACAGAAACCTCAATAGAGCTCAACAACATCGAATCTTTATCCACAAGTTCCGCATCTCTAGATGGGAATAGCGAAGAGGAACGTGGCAGAAAAGAACATAGGCTTCACGACGGGAACAGCCGAGAAAGCTCTTTTGGCAGTTCAAGGTCACAAAGTCGTCAGTCTTGTTGTGATTCAATTGGGAGCTCAACACCCTACAGACCCATTCGAGATGACTCTGAGATCAGCTTTGAACGCCAACGGTGGGCTAAAACAGGCTCAAAATGGTTGCGCATCTTCTGGAGCAGTCCTTCAAATGTCGCCAAGAGTCAAGAAAGGGTCGGCAAGAGGTCTTTAGGAGAGAAAGCGATTTCTATTCTCACTTTGACCATAAGCTCAGCCTTGATGTCCATGTGTACCGAGTTTCTCGTTGGCACGATTAACGCTATTACACATCAAGGTCACTTATCAGAGTCAGTCATCGGCCTCATAATCCTACCTGTAATCGGTAATGTGGCCGAATACGTTACTGTTGTAACAATGGCATCAAGAGAGAAGTTGGATCTTGCCATTGCAGTCGCAGCTGGTTCAGCCATACAGATCGCGCTTTGCGCAGCACCTTTGACCATTTTAGCAGGCTGGATCATGTCCCGAGACGTGTCTTTTGATTTTAGCTTATTCGAAGCGGCTGCTCTTTTGGGGGCAGTGGCGCTATCAACTCGACTTCTCTTGAGCGACAGAGATGGCAATTTGGAGATGCCTGGTATCAAAGGAACACTCATGTGTGCATGTTACGCATTGATCGGGTATGCATGAACTTTACTGAACTTTACTGAATCCCGAACAATTATAGACGAATTCATACTAACTCAGTCTAGAGTTGGCGCGTTTCTTTCGCCAGATGTTGAGACATAGCGAGGTTGCGTTCTGGGAGCTGAAAGATTCTCTTATCTTGTTCGGTAGCATTCTTGGAGCTTTTCTGATGGCATGGCCAGAATGGGAATAATGGTAGAGATCAAATGCCGCGGTGATTGCAATGATGGATACTTCATGTTGGTATCATACAACATTGGAAACTTCAGCTGTAACCCTCAAACTTCATTTGTGGTTCATTAAACAATACTGATCTATACTATCCATGTCATTATAAGACCCGACGCCATGCCATTTCTACACGTACTTGTAGGCTTATCTGGAACTCCGGCCCCCGGTCCGGGCCAGTTATTGTGTTAGTTCTAAACTAAAACATCACACTCCTTAATTGATGCAGCGTTGAATTCGATGCCGTAGTTTTCATGAGAAAAATTCGTGTTACGAGCAGGGAGAAGAAGAGATGGTTCTGGGCAGCGGGATGATCATCTGGATTTGACAAGTGCGACATACATAGTTCGATTGACTGACTGATCTTATGTTACTCGATCCGGCCGCTCTACAGTGGTACAATAGGCAAATTTGCTCCCGGGCTGTGTACCTACAGGCTATGATTCGTTGGCCCAGTAACATTTCCTCTACGATGGCAAGTACAATGATTTCGAGAGTGTATCAGCGCCTCGTTCTTGTTATGTGGTTGTTATCGGATTGGAAGCCTAATTCACTCGCAGCAGTCGTAGCCACCTCCTGTTACCTGCTTAGCAGATACCTAGTCATTTCTCAGCCCGCTTCATCGTCCATGCGAACGTCGTCGCCTCCCTAACGCCCGACAGTCGAAAATACCGCACCTCCTCGCCAACAAAGTCTGAAAGGCGTTCGGGTGTACCAAGTCTACCCCCTGGACAGCAAAATCGAGACCGACGTCGACGTTATCGCCGTTCATGGCCTCGACACGAAGTCGCCCGACACATGGACATGGCAAGAACGACACCTTCCTCGTGGCGCGGGAATAAATTGACTCGCGGATCCGCAGATGCTCCCCTCGAATGCCCCCAGGGCTCGCATCTTCACTTGCGACTGGCCGGCGGCTCTGTTCAACGAAGCGGCGACCATCCAGTTGACAGCCAACGAGCTTGCTCGGAAGCTCCTCCACGGCATCGAAACACGGGATCCTGTCACCGATCGGCCTATCTTGTTCGTCGCCTCCTGCTTGGGTGGCATCGTACTAAGCAAAGCCCTCATCATGGCAGCCCAGGAAGGAAGCGGCTTCACATCCTTGTGGGCCGCTACGGGAGGTGTCATTTTTCTGGCGACGCCTTTCCGAGGCACGGCCTTCCAGGAAGTCGCCCGACATGCATGCCTTTTCTTACAAGGCTCTGCAAAGCTCTCCAGCAAGCGAGTCACGACTCTTCTAGACAGTGTGGAAGCGTCGACTCCCTTCCTTCAGGATCTTGTGGGAGAATTTACCTCCATTTGCAGATCGCGAGGCGATGAATGTCGCCTGGCCATTTTTTACGAAACGGAAAAGGGAAATCTCTTGCGCAAGGTGTTACCAACCTGGGCGGCAGACTTCCTGAAGAGACCACAACAGGTGTGTTGGGTATCCGCGTTATCTGATTTCATCGCTGACCGAGCGCTGCAGTTAGTGGATAGCGGCTCTGCCCGGCTGGACATTGTCACGAATCCCATCGCTCTCGAGCGGAACCATGTCATGATGAACAAGTTCCCAGGTCAAGAGGATGCAGACTACAAAGCCGTGGCCCGAAAGATCAGCTCCATTATCAAAAGCATGCGTGAGGGACGCCCAATAGACCGCGCGGACACGATAATTCGCGAAAAGTGCTACGCCAAGAACAAGCTTCGCGTTGAAAGACTCTCGGGGAAGGCCCTGTCGGAGGAGAATTGTTACATCAACCTGGCCATCATACAAAGGCCCGGCAATTCTGCGATTAATCCCCAAACTGAACAGTCGAAGAACAGTTCTTCTCCTTTTTCGCTCAACGCCCGATTGAACATTGAGCGACCGGAGAAAGAGAAGGAGATGTCACTTCCAACTCTTTTCGACGGGCGAGAAGGCATCGACGGGGTGGTAGCGCAGCCGCGGAGGGTCCTCATACGAGGACGTGCAGGTTCTAGGCGTTGCTTTATATTTCTCATACCCTCCCCTTCTTCAGAAGGATACTATCGGTTGAAGTATCTCTTTAGACCTAACTTGGCATTAGATACCTATTCCTCCTGGCGAGGGGATCGCCAGTTCTTTTCCCGGTATTTTATATTAAAACCAGGGTGGAGGAGTAATGCAGCAGCATACAGAGGTGACTCCTCTGTCAGGGCATAGTACTCATCCAGCTTCTTCCATCCGTTATTGACAGAAATCCTCAAGTACTGCTGGCCACTGCTGCCTATCTCTTCCAGGTTAGAGATGCTGTTAATGTACTCTTGGCGAGTATGGGCAGATAAAAGGTTCTCATTAAACTGTCTCTGAGATGCTTGTGATCCTTGAGCATATGATGGAACTTGCCGATATGTCGATCGAGTGGATCTTTGAGATGTTTCCTGTGAGAAGGCTTGTGACTCTTCTGATTCAAGATCTTGCGAATCCCCACTGCTGGTATCATTGTAGAAGGTCTTCTAACCCTCAAAGTGACTCAGAAAATACTCCATTGCAGTGATTACCTCCCAAAGTCTACTATGTGAGCCATCTTGTCCAAAACCCTGCGTTCGAAGTGTGATCTTCCAGATAGGCTTCAAGATTATCACGATCTCTGTCAACTGCAGCCAGTCATCAGAAGTCAAGATATCTTGAGCTGGCACAGGATCTTTGACACTCTGAGAAGAACAGAAGCCATCTACTTCATCCTTGAGGCGAAACGCACGCTCAATCATAAGGTATGTAGAGTTCTATCTCATGGCATTGTCTTGGATCAATTGAACTTCTCTGAATGTCTGCTGGGAGAGAAGAATATCACCAGATTGCCCAGATCCTTCTGATATCTCACGAGATAGATTCTTGAACCTCTGTGTACGTTGCGGCGAAACTCTCACGAACTTCACAATATTATGAAGCTTGCCAATAGGGCCAGCCTTTCGCCAATGCTTGAGGTCAGCCTCATCTTGCTGTAGAAGAACATATGCATCTGACTGTCTCTCAAAGCTCTCAGAGTCCTTGTCGAATAAGAAGGCCTTCGATACAAGGTTGAGGATGTGCCCAAAGCAACGAATCCTTCTGGCTTGGGCATCTTGCTTCTTACTTACAGAGGGGTCAAGTCGAGGGATTAGACTTGCTATATAAGTGTCATTTAAGCTTGCGTTATCAGAGATCAAAGTTCTCATTTGGTTTGTGATGCCCCAGTCTCGAATAACCTCCTTAAGAGTATTTGTAAGGTTGATATTATCATGAGCCTCAAGTTGCTTCCTCATAGCAATCAAACGCAATTGGGGACCCTTCTCTCTAGTAATGAAGTGTATAGTGATACCTATAATAGCTTGCCGGCCTAGAGAAGTCGTCAGCTCCAAACAACAGCAGTCTTCGTTGGTTGGTTATCTTTGCCAAGCTCGATTCATTGAAATACATTTGAAAATCAGGTCATCATAGCTGTTGTAACCCCAACGATTGCGCCCGCTGTCCAGCATTGTAGTAATGGGTGCCGTGCTATGTGTGGCGCCTCATTTGGCATGCTGTGGGGCTCATTCGCTAGAATCGATCGGCACAGACAGCTCAAATAGGACCCTACATCAACCGCGGGGAATGCAGGCTAGTTCAACAGGCCAGGCATAGAATTCAGCACAGAATGCCCAACCACGTCACCTAACTTCCTCATCTTCCCTGGGCTTCCCACCCTGTGTTTCCTCATTAACAACACAACGTGTGCGACTGGGACACCAATGTATCGATGCACTTCCCTGTGCAAACTCATCCAAATCATCGCGGTTCTCCTCATCTTAGCTTTCTTCGTGCGACCAAATACACACTGCTCCCTGGTGGGCTCCGACGGTATTCCTTGCTTCGTACCCCACTCGACAGATACGATATTACCGTACTCACCACCCTCACACAATCGGTCGAAGCCCTCTGCTAACTAGAACTTAGAGACATGGCTTCGAACTTCGCAGAACGCGTTGCCGCGTTGAACCCCATCATCGAGAAGATATGCAAGGCCTCTGGAGTTCCTGGGCTCTCTGTGGGAGTCTCACAACATGGAAACGTTCTCCATCAGTTCAACTATGGCTCTAGCGATATTGAGGGTTCAGTCCCAACCAATTCTGACACTATTTATGGAATTGGATCCATCTCGAAGACATTCACAGCAACCGCGATTGCTCAGCTGGTTGACGACAAGAAGCTCCAATGGAATACCCCGCTCAAGGACATTCTGCCAGGCTTTCACAGTCGCAGCTCTCTGGTGACCAATGAAGCAACCGTCGAAGATCTTCTCACTCATCGCCTTGCCCTGTCTCGGTCTAATAATTGGTGGTACGGCTCCGATGGAGATCTGATACTAGAACAGAACCAGACGCTGTCTGCTTACTCGCAGCTGAAACCCATGGGGCTCTTTCGAGGGCAGTTCGATTACAGCAACTGACACTACACAGTTGCCGGCGAGGTGATCGAACAGGTTAGCGGTCAGACCTACGGAGAGTATATTTCCGCTTCCATCGCAGATCCTCTCGGTCTCCAATCGACCACTGCCATCCACTCTTCGGTACCCGAGTCAAACGTAGCCAAGCCGTATGCAGCACTAGACAACCTAGACTTCTACCAGCTTCCTCGACCACAGGCTCAGAGCGGTACTATTATGGGACCCGCTCAGGGAGCTCTCAGCTCGGTGAACGACCTCCTTAAATACGCCTCAGCGATGATGAGTTCCGCAGCAGCGACCGATTCCCAAACATCCGAACTGAGAGGGATGCAAAAGCAGCTTGCCGGGCATATCTTTATGGCTATGTCTACCCGAGAGTCTTCGTACGGACTCGGTCTTTTTAGACATCAACTTCCTGGGGTCATATCCGGCACAGGCGCTAATGGAATGTTCGTCAAGCAGCTTCCTGTCCTTGTTCCTGGTGGAAATATAAGGCTCGTCATCTCACACCCTGGTAGCCTAGCGGGCTACACGTCGTTCTTTGCCATGTTGCCAGAGATTGACGTTGGAGTTGTTGTCTTGACCAACTCGATCGGTCTCGCTGATCCATCCGCTTGCATTGGCCATGTCCTTCTGGAAGCCTTGGTGGAGACGCCGTCGCCTGTCGATATCATGCAATTCGTCGAGGAAGCTGCTCAGAGTCACATTCAAAGTTATCCTAAGCTCCAGGAAACATTTAATTCGCTACGAGGAAATAGCACGCCACCGGCGGCTCTTCAAGACTATGTTGGTGTTTATCAATTTGACGCGGGTCTGGATTTCAAGATTGTCATCCGCTTGAAGAGCCAAAGCGTCTTGCAGGTCGTCTTCCAGGCCATGGAATCCCAAACCTGGGATCTCCAATTCTTGGAAGGAGAAACGTTCCATTGGCTTACATCCCGCGATGACCAGGCCAAAAAAGCCAAATTCACGTATCCTTTCCTACCAAGTCTATTCAAGATAGTTTTCGAGCGGAACGACGATGGACTTGTGGACCACCTCATCTGGAAGCATGACCCCGCTGAGGCACCGGAAGACCAGTTGTTCAAAAGGGTTCCCATAAGAGGCGGGGGTCTCTGACTAGATGACTAGAGAGAACTGCCAAAGCTATCAGCACGGTATGCTTGTGCGGACTTGCAGGATGGGGAAGATGAAGTTCCCAGCGCATGGACTTGACAAGTCGCGTTGGTACTTCGTGCGTGCCCGTGGTTGAAAGCTATCATGTCAGTAACATTAGGACCAAGGTCAAAATGCTATATATCATGTGGGAAGAACTGGTACTGCGTTGAGAGCTCGACACATCAGTAGAACATGCGATGTCTTTCATTTTAGGCTTTCCTTTTTTGGTAACTCCTTCGGTACTGAGGAAGTTCTTTTGACCTCTTCATTCCAGCCACGACCATTTGTGGGGGAATACGAGACTGTAAAAGTCTCTATAGTGAGCAACAGCGGCTTGATGTTGAAGATCATGTGTAATTTCAACGATTGTTTCCCTATTTCCTTCTCAGTCTGGACACTGCATGCAAGCGGCATCATATCCAACGTCTCGGCTATTTCTCCGGTTTTCTGGAGTGTATAGGAAAAGGTGCTGCGAAGACCGAGCTTCGTCGGGTACTCATTTGGCAACATTGGCAACCAATTAAATGTGGTTTGTCAAAACACTGGGACTGATCATCGATTTCGGAGCCGATGGTTTTCGAAGAACAGCTGCAGGTGGGATTGCATGATTCTACACGCGCCTATATCAAGTACTGGGGCACTAAGACTTGGTTGAACATGGAGCTGCGGAGAATAATCTGATTGCAAAATCAATCCGCCTGACTCTAAATGCAAAAGACACTCATGTCCAGTTTCCGTACTGCGCCGGGAGGGTTCAGATCAAAAAACCTGAAGGTATCGGAGAGGTAGAAAGAACAATATGACAAGATCTTAGTTAGTGCGTAAAAATTACATCGACTAGTCATCATATGAGCAGGAATCCTTCTTATCTTTAAAATTGAGGGTTATTGAGATCGGCTAATAGTTCATCAGAAGCTGCAGGTAAAATGAGGGATAATATAGAGAAGCAAGTGAGTGCACACTCTGGAACAGAGTTGTCCCACTTGGGCTCCGCTGCCGTTGGGGATTATCGTAGATAGAGGTTTAATATTCAAGAGGGACTATATTTATCGGCGCCATATATTGCCTTAACTCCTTAAATTGGACGTGGCTGAGACTAAAAGATAGGAGAAGTAAAAGGTGTGTCTCTCTGCGAAATGAAGGGGTCAGAACGTTGACCCCAACCGTAGAAGCTGGCTAGATCAAAGTCACACTATTTCAGCCTTTTAACACGGGCACATCTTGAATTTGCTGTTGGTGGTTTATGGATATTGAAAACCTTGTAACTTTGACTTTGAGAGTTGATTATTTGCGCATTGAAGTTTTCCTGGAGATGCGAAAGACCCAAACTAGGTTAACGTGGTTAAAGGAGTTGTCTGTACGTAAGATTCCTACCCCAGAAAGGAGGGCGCGTTGGCGACGGCGGACATCTTGAGAAGTAGGACGAACCTTGGTGGACGTCCTTGCGACCACCTGTTGCAAGACGTTAGAGGGTGTGCCTAATAACCGTTAGTCTAAGAAAGCGACGTCGGAGTTGAATCTCCGTATTACCTGCCGCCACTTAGGCAAGGCTCGGAAGGCTTAGAGGTTTGGGAATTTGGTTCGAAGACCTAACTCTAAGTATTTACAAACCTAAGCTCTTCCGGTTTGTTATATAAGATTTAGTACTCTGACCGACCGCCCAGCCCCTGCATGACCGACCCGTGACAACGGAGTAAAGAGGGGAAAACTATAGAAAATTCATGTCTTATACTTAGACTTTGTCGAATGCCCGTATCGTGAAGTATTCTTGACGACAGGGATCTCTTTAAGTTTCAAGTTTCAGTTTTCGCCTATAAAGTAAGGGGAAATCACACGTCGCAGCGCTACTATTGAAATTTCTGGGTAAGCTTCGACAGATGCCTGCTCAGCATCGCAACTTAAAGTAGTTTATTATAACCAGGAAAGCTTTGGTCTAGGTTCCAGGTTTGACAAGATTATACGGTAGGCACCTGTCAGAATGAAGATAAAGCCGTAGAAGATGGATAAGAGAATGCTTCCGACGACGTGGTGTGAGTTGAGAGTTTGACAAATGAACTGAAAGATAGGCTACCATATTCAATAGTTACGTAAATATATTATCTAATCTTCTTTTTACCTCTTTTACCCAGCCACGTCCATTTATGGGGATATACGAGGTTGTGGAAAAACTCTGTTGATAATACTGCTGAGGGCGCTTAGCAAAGCACCGTGATGCTGTTGTGAAGAACTAGGGTATCTAAGGCACGACTTATTAAGGTCGTATGAAGCTGCTATAACCTCAATAGCGTGATACACAATACAACAAGCCCACCATGGATGACGTCAAAGTACCTGAACATAAACCCAGAGTACTCCTAGTCGACTTCTTCATGACCAAAACTATCGACGTCGACTCCTTCATGCCAAATTTTCGGACCTTAGCGTGCAGGCTTAGGGCCGGAAGGATGTGGTGTAGGGTGTTACGGGCGGGTCAAGGCACCCAACTCTAGCACAAAGCAAAGGCTTCGGTGATGAAAACCCCGTTGACTTTGCCCCCTTGTTCTACACCATGTTGTCACGCCGGCCAAAATTCCAACTGGTTCGGTCGTAACTTTGGGGTTGCCCGCCAGGATTCCCAAATTGTACACTTTAATACACTTCATCACTTCAAAGTGAAACATGTTATCTAATCTTAGGAGACACTTGACAGCCCTAAGCTTTGATAAGCTAGCAAGAATCTTACGATTCACGGCCGACTGTTATATAAATGAGTGCTCTGCGCCGAGGCTACCATTGCCTTAGACGTGTTAGCTTCCAAATTTTGTTACTAGTATTCTATTATACCACGCCGCCCTATCCGCCATGGCCACCAGTCAAGTTTTTTTCATCGGGTTGGTTTCGCTCGTCCTAAGCTCCTTGGCTGCTGCCTTGGGACCCCTTCCAATAGTCCACGACTTCGCGCAACCCACCGTATATTCCAATTTAACATTCGACGAGTTCCAATCACTGTACACTCAGTATCAACAATGGCAACACGAGAACGCCAAGTCGGTCAACAAACGCGATTATACCATGACCGATCTCGACGAAATCTGCCAAAGAATTGGACCTGCCTTCCGATTTCAAAGCGGATGGTGTGGCAGGAATCCTGAAAGTAGGAAGTGGAACTGCAAAATTCCGAACCTCCCAACATCCGTCATTGAGAGAAACAGGCTTAGTAGGACTCAGGGCTGCCCACGCAACAACGTACATACGAATGCTGAAGGCGGTAGTGTGCAATTTCCATTCTGCGCCTCCAAGGTTAAGATCGATAAACCCGAGGGCGCTCATGAGTTCGAGGGGGAATATGACTGGGTCAACCAACCTAAGTCGCCAGGCGAGCGATCCTTCTTCGTTGAGGCTGGGGCATCGATGAACTTGGAATACGACTTCGTACACAACGAGTTCCATGCTTCGGGGCAAGGTCACACATTCTCATGTATTTTGTGTCCTATCGGATGGGGTGCTAAACTGACGATGACTCACCCCAACAGTATAAGCTGGGCATTCGTAAGCACTATTGGCAATTAATGTCGGATTTTTCGCCAGGATGATAATTTGTGGGAATAAGACCGACTCGTTAATTCACCTGGGTTTTTAGGGTCAGCTTCTTGTGTAAAGAACGTTTAGGGAGTTTTGTCACTTCATCAATCAGTAGTCGGTTTAGAGCCGTGGAAACAAAACACGTCCAAAAAAACCTCGCAGCTTCTCACAATCCTAAGGAAGCTGGTTTTTACTCCTTTCGCGTCCTCTTCTCATGTGGAAGAGGATATACAAGGGTTATCTCTAAATGTCGGATTGGAAGCCCAATTCGACCTCGAGTCAGCGCCAGCGCAGGGGCCATCTGAGGGTCTCTATATCAGCGTTCAACCGGCGATCCAACCTCCGGTTGGAACCTCTCTTTTCCACTTCACGCAGAGATCAATATACAGTTAATTGACCCTTCGTCACCACGGTTCGATCAAACAAATCACACCTGTGATACGTCAACTAACAAAACGTCCTCTTGGCTTTCGACCTTCCTTCCTTTCTAGGCCTTCTTCTTGGCCTCTTTAGATAATACATAGCCCTGATTATCTTCTATGTTTACTACTAGTTAAGATTTAGGCTCGAGTCTTATTACGGGATCTACTTAAGCTTATAGCCAAGACTCGCTCGCAACCTCTGCTAGGACGTCCGCCCAGCCTTTAATTAAGAGACGGCTAGTTTACCGCCGTTTTTAGCAGCTTCTGCCGCCAGATCTAGCGGGCCATCTGCCACGAAGCAGTCGCCGCTCTAAACTCAGGCACCACGCCCACTAAGCGACCGTCACCCTTTCTAGTTCCAGACGTGTACCCCTGAGTGCCATGGTATCTCAGCCACTACCGTCCTGAACATTTCGCGCGGCTACGGCCAGTTTCTCGAGTCTTGATTTCCCGGTCATGCTTTGCGTATCGGTATCCAACAGCCAAGCAAACACTTAGTTTGATGACTTTTCGAATTTTTAAGGCCAAAAATAAAGTTCTGTTTGTTGTAAAGCAATGAACAATGGCACGGAAGTGTTACAACTTATGACCAGCTAGTCGCAGTGAGGTATGTCAGCAGAAGTTGAGGCTGCGAGTAACTCGGCCGGAAGGATAGTGTGATAGATGAGATCCTAATTGCTGAGAAAGAGACTGAAGGACTGGGTATCGCCTGGGGGAAAATTCGCTGTATCCCTACTTTAGATGTAGAGGTAAGCTGTTAGCTAGCTAGCCTAGCCCTGTCCTACCCTGCCTAGTCAACCAGTTCACCTGGAAGGATAATGCCCTTGTACTCTTCCTGTCAACTGTCTTCCAGGACGGCCAGGAAGTTATCCGCAGCCGCCGCCGCCCACATGGGGATTCCGCTGCTAAGAAGGCTGCCAGACAAATATTCAGCCTAGGCGTCCGTAAGGACCTTCTAGTGCCTAAGGTATTTAATAAATATAATTACAAAATTAATAAGATTAATATAAGTGATTAAATGAGATTATATTATTGACATAACCACCCTATTTATCGAGGGGGCCAGTAGTCAATTACTTAGAATTTCTTATTAGAAGTAGTAGTGGTGAATAGCTTCCTACAGTAGCTTTGGGGTAGCCCTAGATGGCAGAAGGTGGGATCACACCACTAATAGCGGCAGCTGCTTATAGCCTAGCTTATTCAGTAGTTCGGACCATTAGCATAAGGGCGGTAGAGGTCACGGCCTAGACGGGCTGTAGATAAGAGGAATACCTCTGTTCTATGGGAACAACATAGAAAGGGGTCGAGGAAGGTTAATTCGCCTTGCTCTTATTGTAGTAATCTGAGTGTAATAAGAGCCCGCCAGACCCTGGGCGAGATATCTGGGAATAATCTCACTCGAAAAACAACACGGAAGGGCTGTTTAGACTGTAATGTACCATTATGTATTGATAGAGATTGCCGGTACCTCTGGCATACGTAGAATCTATAGGCGATAGAAGTATTGCAAACCTATTGGTTTACTCAATAGATTCACAACCCCTTATTGGCTCTACCCCGCCCTTGGCGAAAATGGGGTCAAGCAGCGATGGGCTATATAATACTGTAAGCGAGCCGCTGCAGGTCGCTAACTGTCGGCCTCGCTAGCACAGGCGCAGTAACGAGTAACAATCGAGCAGTTGAAAGGAATTTAGGCGCTTATCATGGGAGTTGTTATGGGCTAGATGGAGCTCGTTCGAGCGGGGCAGATGCAAGTCTCAACCTGTGAAGCTGACAAACGGCTGGTGCTCCAGGGGTTTAAGCTCAGTGCTACTTATAATTTTCTCCCTTGATCACCATTTTTCCCGATTCCCTCAGCATTCTCAACCGACTAAGCTCTCTTTGACGCACAACTCTCGCGATGCCTCTGTGGTTGTGCGACTTTGAAAAGTGTTCAAATCCGGCAGTTCAAAGAGAAGGATACTGTTTGTGTTGCGACAAACACCTTTGTAGCAAACATCTTTCAAGATCGTTCCACAGCTGCCCAAATCCAGAGGTCTGTAATCCCTATTTTAGAGTATGTTTGGATATACAGCTTATGCCTATCGCGTTTAGGAAAACTGGTCGTCCTTCTCTGCCAAATACGCGGCCACTGAGGCCCGTCACATAGACGAGTTATGTCGTCGAATAGACAGTTCCAACTTGTGTTCGAGGGCATCAGAACTTAGGGACGGCATTCAATGTACCGTTAACCTGTCCCGCAAACACCTGTCTTCTATGATGGGACACCAAAATTGTCACGCCGAGGTTATCTTTGAAGATGGAGTTAGTTGGCTGGCGCGTCTTCGTCTCACCAGGACCACCTCACCACCAGAAGAAGTCCGTGATTTCATTTTTCGCTCTGAAGCGGGTACTCTAGCCTATCTCAATGACCACACCAGCATCCCGGTCCCCAGAATCTTCGACTGGGCTTGCGAGTCCGATCGGCAAAACCAAATTGGAGTCAGCTACATCCTAATGGAGAAGCTTGATGGAATGCCCTTAGTCTGGCAAGCGGCAAATCCGGCACAGAGAGAGAAAGTCATGCAACAGCTGGTGGATGTGTTTCTAGAAATTGAAAGACATCCTTTCGATGCTTTGGGGTCACTTCTTACAGTTTCAGGCCCCACCAAGTTTGCGGTGCAAGGCCTCGCACAACACGCAACATACATGATTGGGCCTGAAGGGCCGCTTGGCCCTTTCACTTCTTCGCTAGACGGGTCAGTCAACATGATCAAGTCATACCTGACGATGATAGCCAGCGGCGAGATCAGTGCCTACTATTCGGTAGATACTTACCTCACGCATCGTTTCCGCCTAGATATTGCCAACAATCTTTGGGGGAATGAGTCGACAGGGGGGCGATTTTTCCTTAAGCATCCGGATGATAAGGGCGACCATATTCTCATTAATGAATCTTACGATATCGTTGGAATTATAGACTGGGAGTGGACCCGGACTGCTTCGAAAGCAGAGGCTTTCAGCTCGCCTTGCATGATGTGGCCGCTGGGGAAGTTCTATGAGGGCTCTAATAAGTTAGCCCCAGATGAAAAGCGGCTGGCAGAAATCTTTCAGGAGAGGAGTCGTGAGGATCTTTCGAACTATGTCCTCTTTGGCAGAAAGGTTCAGAGATTCTTCTTCGCTCTAGGTCCTGAAAGTCCTTCGGATCGACAAACCCTTTTAAATCTCTTTGTAGGACTCAAAACGGCCTTTAACTTTGAAGACGAAACGTGGGAAGGGTGGGAGAAGTGGAAGGGCCAAGCCCTGCGCAAGTGGGAAAACGACGAATTGCTTCAGGGCCTGCTTCGGCTTCAAGTGAATAAGGAAGACCAGTAAAACGAGTCTCGAGGTTCGTGTCACTTTTAGTGCGCCCAACAAATCTGAATGCGGAAAACTGGATTATCTTGGTGTGCTAATTCTCTACATGAATACTATCAGGTTGTAAACACAGCTGCGCTGACTTCTTGCTACCGGTGTGCTCAGGAAGTTAAACAATGACAGATTTTTTCTCAGTGTCATTGGCATCCCAGCTTAAGGTCCCAAACTACACGTTCACGTTGAGAGAAACTTAAACCAAGTGGGCATCGCCCGAAACAGTTTGAGTGAGTGGGCATTGTCCGACGTGCCTGTGCTATGATGTCTGGATGTCCGCGCATTCTTTCCACGCCGCTGGGAGCCATGGTTGCGCCGAGCCGAGCTCTCGGTACTAATCTAGGGACCCGAGTCCGCTGTAACAAAGTCAGTCCTCGCTGTAGGACGATAGTCGTTGGCTCGACGGAAGCGTAAATTCGTCTGATGTCGCATCTTATGTTGCATGATTTGTCACCCATACCATCCTGGGCAGAAGACGTCACTCCGACGGGGTTCGGGGTAGTATTCGGAACGTGGGGTGAGATGCTGCTCTTGCATAAAAGTGTGGGCTTAGTCGATGCTGACCTTGCATTTGGATCTGCGTCGAGCCAACTCGAAAAATAATAGAAGAACATTGTATCAATATGCAAGCCTTTCAGTTCGAAGAGCCAGACGGCGGGCTGCATCTTCGGAATGTACCGATCCCTCAGCCTGGCCCCGGCCAGGTACAGCTACGAGTCAAAGCAGCAGGGCTTTGTCACTCGGACTGCCACATATTGAAAGGGAAAGATGTTGTCATCCAGACACCTATTACTCTTGGCCACGAAGTCTCCGGGATAATCACAACTCTCGGCCCCGATGTGAAGGGGTTCAGCCCTGGTGATCGCGTTAGCGTTGGCCTTTTCTCGTACCCGATCGAGGTTCGAGATTGGACTGCGGCCATTGGTCTTTCATACGACGGAGGCTATGCCGAGTACGCGCTGGCCCCAGTGTCACGACTAGTCCGCATCCCGGACGTCGTTTCATTTCCTCAGGCTGCAGTAGCGACCGACGCCATGGCGACATCTTACCATGCCGTGGTGATCGAAGCCGCCGCGCGGCCCGGTATGACAATCGGCATCATCGGCATCGGCGGCCTGGGTATGTCAGGCCTTGGGTTTGCAGCCCTCAAAGGAGCCAACGTGTATGGCATCGACATTGCCGAGTCCAAATTCAAAGAAGCAAAGAGACTGGGTGCCCGTGGATGTTTCAAGAGCCTTGACGATGCTACAGAGGTGGAATTCGATATCTTTGTTGATTTTGCCGGCACAGGGGAAACGACAAAGGAAGCCATCGAAACAGTACGCGAAGGAGGCAAAGTCGTAGTTGTTGGGCTGGCAAATGCGGAGATCATGGTTCCTAGCTATGCTTTGGTTGGCCGTAGTGTCAAGCTGGTTGGATCAATTGGCGCGAGCGAAAACGACCTGAGAGATGTTTTTGAGCTCTTGGCAAACAAGTCCATCGAGCCTGAACTGAACGAGATTCCTTTTGCGGAGATTCCGGCTGGTCTTGATGCATTGGACCGAGGCGAGGCGCGGGGAAGACTATGGGCAGATCCGAGCAAGATCAAATCAGGCCGAAGTAAATTGTAATGATATATAGGAATAGGACGTTCTCCCGCGGCTGTGAGGCCTGTGAATTAAAAGTAATAGTCTGCTCGAGATGTGATCCATTTTCTTATTTGACTGCTGTTTATGTGTTGGTATGGCTTGGTAAGACAGTAGTAGCAAATACGACGCTGAGCCATGCCCTGAAGACAGCGTCAGTCCATGAAACTTGGTTCGATGAATCGGTGAATCATTTCATCTGCATTTGTTGAGGAATATTAGCACTCTTAGGGATAACTAGGGTATGCTCGCTCAACCTTCACGTTTACAAAATGATACTATCGTGTTTTGGAACTCGTCTGCCATCAATCTCTAGGCTTTCCCTTGCCTAGTCTTCAAAGAAAACTAGGCAATCGAGCTCCATACTCACTCGCACCGTGTCATTGACATATTGTGAATCCTCAAAAGAACTGCGAAATGCACTCATCTTCGATTCAAGCTTTTCCAGTCCAGCACTGTTCCATTGAAGAAACATGACAGGCTCATCTGGTTGCTGATGGTTTAGAAACACCGAATCGTGCTGCTCGCTGTATGACGCTGTGTCCAACCAAATGTCCTGGGTGTCTCTGGCAAAGACCTTGAATTGCTCTCAGGCCGTGAGAAGATCTTTCCGTGTCTTTTTTCGGGGTATTTTCACCTTGAAAGACTTATTGCCAATGCTTGGTCAGGCAGTTTGATTCCCGTTGCTACGTATGATGAGGTCAGCTATGCTCTTTCCTATTATCATGGGTGTCCAGCCTTGATGGTTAAATGCATGATTCAAACTTATGCATAATAGAGTGGTCGCCAGGCATATAATATCTCCCTTGGCAGAATCCTCAATCTATCTCATCATCGTCGCCATGAAAGAACCTGAGAATGGCAGCAGCCACCAAGTCACCATCATGCTCCCAATGCGCCGTCTCCGCCGCCCGATCCGCATGTTCCATATCCTGTATGCCGCCACTATCAATCCTCATCTGGATCTGTCTCTTGACCATGTCCTCGTCGAATGCTAGATGCGCCTGCGACGTGAAGAGCCGGCCCTTGATGTAAACGCCCTGCACTTTGGTGTGCTCGCTGTGACCCCAAACATCGACCTTGTTGCTCGGCTTCAGTAGCCCTTTGGAGCTCGCGGTTGTCGGCTGCGCGACGACTTGGTCTTGGTGCATTTGGTGGAGGTGCACATAGTCGTCGTTAGTGTGAAATAGTCGCTTTCCTACTGGTGAAAGGTCGATTCGGCAGTGGCCGAGTTCCCAGTCCTGTGACGGCGCTGATGCGACTTTGGCGCCGAGCATCCGGTTGAGAAGCTGGTGGCCGAAGCACACGCCGCTGAAGTGGAGATCCGGCCGGCGCTCCCAGAGTTCTGTTGTCCCGAGTCAGTTTCGCTAAATCGTGGGTGTCTGCCGAGGGCAGTGACTTGGAGGGAAAGAAACGTGACTGACCTTGAAGAACTCCCAGGAGCTTGAGAATCCAAGGGTTGTCTCCGTGGGCGTCATACATGCTTCCGGTGATTAGGACACCCTGATAGCTGTCAAAATCCTCAAACGGTGGGACTGTGCCTCCCTTGTCCTCCACGACAAACTTCTGGTCTGTTTCGACTCCCAGCGGGGGATCGTGCTCGGCGCCGGCATGTTGGAAGTGAGTGTGCAGAATTTCTCCAAAGCTACCTTTCGCCGCATGGGTGTCTGGATGAGGGTTGTCCGTCTCTATCACAATTATCCGCACCACTGGCGCGTCGGGGGCAGGGTATTTCTTCGACATCCTGACAGCGATTGACTCGAAGAGCTATCAGTGGTAGGGTAATATGAGCAAGGGCGCTGGAACCAGGCGGCTTTGGATTGTTACTGAGCATTATTTGGGGGTCGCAGAGTGATTTTAGGTACAGAGCAGTTGCAAGTACATTACTCAAAGGATAATCAATCCCCTTTGATCTCCTTGGTGGTGACGCGTTCTAAGGTAAAGGCACTACATAGGCCAAGGGAATCATTCCTCAGCATTGCACGTTTGTTTCCGGGTCATATCAATTCTAGATTGACGTCAGTAACTTGATAGCGACTGTATATCCTATAGGGCTGAGGTGAATGGGATTCTTGGATGACGGCAAGTTTGCTGCATTTGAGTTTTCATAACATAATTGCCGTCCCGAGTCCACTACACAAGCGGCTCGGCGGGTTCCACAGGCGTGGAACCATCGCTGCTTGGCCTGAGTGTAAGGAAGTCAAATCAAGTATTCCGCGCTTGTGCCGCCTCCCAAGCCATGGCGGAGCTTACGCATAGCAAAGCTGAGCTGGCTAACTCGGATGGCCAATCAGGCACTTCATGAAGAATTGGCAT